CTCACTTGGTCTTCTGGGGACTGAAAGGCCTGTTGGTCAGTGCCAAAAGAAACAGGGAGTGGAATTTCACTTTTTTCAAAGTCCACACTTCTAAGTCTACTTGCTCCCAAAGGTGAAATGGAAGGGGTAAGAAAGAGAAGCTCTGGATTTCCAAAGCTCTGTAATGTCATTTATACGTCACTTAATGTCTCTTCTCAGCAGTGCTCAGTGACAGGGCAATGGGCACAGGAGGGTCAACCTAAACATAAGGAAAAACTTCTTCACTGTGAGGGTGACAGAGCCCTGGGACAGGCTGCCCAGGGAGGCTGTGGAGTCTCCTTCTCTGGAGATGTTCCAGACCCTTCTGGACATGTTCCTGTGGGATCTGCTCTAGGGGATCCTGCTCTAGCAGGGAGTTGGACTGAATGATCTTCAGAGATCCTTTCTGACTCTGACTGGGTTAGGAAGGCTGGTAAACCTTTCATCCAGTGAGACTCTGGATTTGGCACTGACTGAATTCCTCAAGGCAGTGGCAGTTGTGTGATGTATAAGGCAAGGGGTTGGTGGTGGCAATGAGGTTTCTAATCAATTCTGAGGAGCCAGGCTACTGGGCTTGTTGTAGGCCAAAATCAAAGACTTGCATTCATCAAAACCTCATGAGTTTGGCAAACAGAAGGTTTATACTTGTGTCTCAGCCTCGTGGCACATCAGTGCTCCCAGCAACAGGGTCCCTGAAGGGGAGGGACCTTCAAGATCATCTAGATCCAACCCCTCCCACCAGCCCAGGTGCCCCCAAGCCCCATCCACCCTGCCCTTCAACACTGCCAGGGATGGGGCAGCCACAGCTTCCCTGGGCAACCTGGGCCAGGCTCTCACCACCCTCACACTCCACAATTCCCTCCTCATGTCTCACCTCAATCTCCCCTCTCCCAGTTTTCATCCATCCCCCCTTGTCCTCTCACTACACTTTCAGGTGAGAAGTTTCTCCCCATCTTTCTTGTAGGCTCCAAATTCTTTGTCCTGTTCTGCAGATGACCTGGCTGGGAACAGCCAGAAACTGAGATGCACTTGGCAGGTTTATGGAAGAGGTGGCACAACAGGGAAAAAAAGATCTTGCCTGGCTTGTGGAGATGTAAGAATGTTTGTGGTGTTGGGGTGTTTTTCCAGGGAAGATGGGTGTGTTCAGACCAGTCATACCTTGGGTCACTTTACTGACCTGTGGTTAGCAGGAGGTAATTGCTAGGTTCTTGTGCAAGACACTTCAGCTAAACCTGCCTTTCTCTAATGAAAAGAGAGGTTTCTCTCATAAAAACCAGGAGGTTTCATAATGGTTAGACTGCCTGGGTCACAAACACTGCAGTGGGGAGTAACTGCTCCTCCTGAGGCAGACCTGGGGCTGCCTTCTGGTCTACCTTGAAACTGAGTAGCATGATCTGGGAAAAGCTGCTCTGTGGAAGTTGTGATCCTTGAGTAAAGCAGTTGGAAACTTCTGTGTGTGGGAGTGGGGCTGAGCAGGGAGTTGGTGCCTGGAATTCTATCTCCTGTGCACACATTCTTGACCCCTGCTCGAGGACGTGGCATGTGGCCCAGCAGGTCTGGAGCAAACAAAACACCCTCCAAGTCTTTGCTTAATGCCCAGGGGGGTTCTGGCTGTTTTTCAGGGCACCCTTCTGGGTTCAGCACCCTCTGCAAGCTGGTCCAGGGTTGGAGCAACGTTGAAACTAGCTCTGCTCTCTCTCCCAAGCTAGGAGCTGGGCTTCTCCTTGGTCAGAGGTGGCACTGTGTGGCTGTGGGACAGTGCTGCCCCTGGGGACCTCATGCTGGGGTTGTTCTCCATGTGTGTCATGTCACTCCATGAACACAGGAGCAACATCTGCTGGAAATCACCTTCCCAGTGTTGTCCTGTGGAATGATCTGTTTATGCAGCTGTGGGAGCCTGTCTGGCTTGGCCCTGCTGATCAGCCACACTTGTGCCCTGAAAGAGCTTGTGGGGAGGAAAAAGAAGGCTGAGAGGAGCTGAAACTTCTAGAGGGAGCAAGTGAAAGCTCAGGTTTAATAAACACCAGTCATTTGAAGAGTTATAACCAGCATTTGGGGCAGGGTGCTCATCCTTTCCTCTTCTACTTTCTTCTCCTCTGCTGCAGGCTGCCTTGCTGGGGAGCTGGCACGTGGAGCTCTCACCCAGGGTTGTATTTAACTGATTCACACTGAGCTGCTGCTCAGCCTCTTGCTTAGCAAAAAGCAAAAGGTGCTACCACATCATTCTGAACCCAGGGCCACAACAGTCATGTCCATGGGGTGGCTCAGCTAGGAGATGTCTTGAGGTAGAAGGAGCCTGGAGCCAAACCCCTCCTGACTCTTGGGAGAGTTTGAAGCTGAATTTTATACACAGGAACGTCGTATTTAGCTCTAAGGAGGAAAAAACCCTCCTGCAGAATCCCCAGCATTGCTAGTTAAGGGCAAGGGAAAGGGAAGAGCAAAGGATTTGCTGTTCTCATATGGCAGAGAAACTCTCCCTGTTCATCTCTGAGCAGAACCCTTCTGGATTCCCAGTTGGCAACTTCTTGAGTGGGAGTTGGAAGCCAGTTTCCCATCCCACCAGCTGCATTGTGTCATCAGAGGCAAAGCAGATAATCACATATGCAGCTCTCAGTGTAGCCCAAATTTGGGCTGGGTGCAAAATGCTCCGTCCTCATATCTGTTCAGGAACCAGCCCTGGGTTGTGTGGCTTAGGCTGGTGCTTTACAAATGGTGTTTCTTTTTTTCACTCCTGCCTGTGAGAGCCTTAATGAATTAGATCGTTTCCAGGGAGTCTTCTCTGAGGGGACTAATGGGTTTTAGCACCTCTGGGAGCAAGGGGGCAGGTGGAGCAATAAATCTCCCTCTGGGAGGGGTGGGGAACGGGCAGTTGTTTCGAGTTGAGCAGCAAAGCAAACTGGTTCAAGGCTGGGAAGCACCACGGCCACAAATGAGACAACCCCAAGATGATTTGTGTATTATCCTGTAATTACCCAAGCAGATATTTGCTTAAAGAGAGAGAGAGAGATGAAACCCCTTGTGTAGAATCAGTGGGAAATCCCTCTGGGTCCTTACAAATCCACCGTTAGCTGGCTCATTAGGCTGGTTTTTTTGTTGCTTCTTCCAAAATGCCCCCTTTTCCCCCCCCCTCACCCTCCCACCTTCAGGAGAGCTGGGTTGAGCTTCAAACCCAACTTTGAAGAGCCCAGCTGTGCCTCATCCTCCTCCTGCCTTCCCCCTGGGGATCTCCTATTCTGGTCACGTCCCACCTCGCTTGCCTTTGCATGTGATGATGCCCTGCTCTTCTCATTAACAAACCTCCCAGCACTTCACAAAGCCAGGCAGCCCTTCCCGGCCTCCCGGGAGGATTGGGGAAGCTTTGCCAAAGCCAAGTGACTTCCCAAAGGTTGCCCTGCAGCCCCTTTGGCAGGCACAGCCCTCCCAGCAAGGTGTGCTCAGCATCCCCTCCTTCTGAGATGCATTAGCATCACAAAAGCAAAGGCAGGGCTCTAGGGAAGGGTCCTTTCTTCCCTTTCTTCCCTCCCCACCCACCCCCAAGTGGATTTCTGAGCTCTGGGATGTCATTCCCTGCCTTTGCTCCCTGCACCTTCGGGTTCAACCGGTCTAGTGAGGGGGTGACAGGTCTACAGCTGAGAGTTGACATCGTGGCTCTGGAATGTGTCTCGGGATTCTCCTGGCTTGTAGGGATGAATGGATCTCTGGGCAGTGTTTTATTTCACTAGGAGTGCCTCTGTGTGAGGTGGCAGCAGGAAGAGGGTTGGCACAGGAGGTGTGAAGCTGCATCCTCCTGGTGGTGAGGGTGGCTGGGGCCAGAGAGTTGGTCTCTGCAGCCTTGGGCTGCTGCTTCTGGTGTGTTCTTACACGTTTCCGTTCTCATTTCATTTATACCAACCTTGAATGTTCCTCTGATGAGACCTGGAGGTAGGTTGGTGACAAGGCTTGGGTCAGCAGCAGCTCTTCTCAGGAGCCTGATGATGAACAACCAGGCTCCCACTTTCTCATCACAGAATCCCAGAATCCCGGGGGTTGGAAGGGACCTGGAAAGCTCCCCCAGCCCAACCCCCTGCCAGAGCAGGGGCACCCAGAGCACATCACACAGGAACGTGGCCAGGGGGGTTGGAATGTCTCCAGAGAAGGAGACCCCACAGCCTCTCTGGGCAGCCTGGCCCAGGGCTCTGGCACTCTCACAGCAAAGAAGTTCTTCCTGAGATTCACACGGAACCTCCTGTGCTCCAGTTTGCACCCAGTGCCCCTTGTCCTGTCACTGGACATCACTGCACAAAGCCTGGCTCTGCCCTCCTGACACTGCCCTGAGCGTGTTTGTGAACATTGAGTCTCTTCCTCTCCAAGCCCAACAGACCCAGCTCCCTCAGCCTTTCCTCAGCAGGGAGATGTTCCCCTCCCTCCAGCATCTCTGTAGCTCTGCCCTGGGCTCTCTCAAGCAGTTCCCTGTCCTTCCTGAACTGAGGGGCCCAGAACTGGCCCCAACACTCCAGCTGCAGCCTCACCAGGGCAGAACAGAGGGGGAGCAGAACCTCCCTTGACCTTCTAACCACCCCATTTCTAACCCACCCCAGATGCCACTGGCCTTCTTGGCCACAAGGACACATTGCTGGCTCATGGTCACCCTCCTGCCCACCAGCACCCCCAGGTTCCTTCCTCCTCCCCTTGCTCCCCACCAGCTCAGCCCCCAACCTGTCCTGGGACATGGGGTTGTTCTCCCTTCCCTGCCCAGAAGCAGAGGGGAAATAAAGGACCCTCAAAAAACCAAACCAAACCAAAACCCCTTCAGGTACCAAGCACTGAGGATCAGCTCCTGGTTGCAAAAGCCCCTGGGCAGGGGCAGCCCAGCCAAGTTCTCTGCGGTCCCGCCCTCGGCGCAGCATTGGCTGCCCTGGATGCTGCTCCCGCTTTTGTACCGGCCCGGCAGCGATGCAGCCGCTGCTCTCACAAGCTGCTCGGGGCTGCCTCGGGGAGTAGGAATGGCCAGGAGGTGGCTTCTTCTTCTCCTCCTCCTCCTCCTCCTCGGGGTGGCCCTGCTGGGGGCAGCGGGGCGCTCCAAGGTGAACCCCAGGATCATCGCGGCTCCCCAAGGTAAGTCCCGGGCTGAGCTGCTGCTCCCTGCACCCGCTGCTTGCCACCCAGCTCCTGGCTTGGGAGGAAAACTGCCCTTTTTATTAAAAACCCTGGCCTTTTAAAATGCTTATCCTTACTCTTTGTCTCTCTAGGGAGACTTCTGTCTCATGGAGCTGAGCTAAAAATGCTCAGGAAGGGGTTTCAGGCTTCCTCGGTGGCTTTTAACTGCATTTTTAGCTCCTTCTTCTTGTCAAGTCCTTTATATATCTT